AACAAGAATTACTACTGTTGTCCCAAATAATAAATAACAAGCATGACTACTGTTGTCCCAAATCAGAAATAACAAGCAAGGATACAGTTGTGCCAAATCATAAATAACAAGCAAGGATCCCATTGTGCCAAATCAAAAATAACAAGCATGGCTACCGTTGTCCCAAATCAGAAATAACAAGCAAGGATACCGTTGTGCCAAATAAAAAATAACAAGCATGTCTACCGTTGTCCCAAATCATAAATAAAAGCAAGGATACCGTTGTGCCAAATCAGAAATAACAAGCATGGCTACCGTTGTCCCAAATCAGAAATAACAAGCATGACTACTGTTGTCCCAAATCAGAAATAACAAACATGACTACTGTTGTCCCAAATCAGAAATAACAAGCATGGATACCATTGTACCAAATCAGATATAACAAGCTTATTATACCGTTGAGCTAAATCAGAAATAGCATGCATTTATATACCGTTGTGCCAAATCAGAAATAACAAGCATGGCTACCGTTGTCCCAAATCATTAATAACAAGCAAGGATACCGTTGTGCCAAATCAAAAATAACAAGCATGGCTACCGTTGTCCCAAATCATGAATAACAAGCAAGGATACCGTTATGCCAAATCAAAAATAACAAGCATGGCTACCGTTGTCCCAAATCAGAAATAACAAACATGTTTACCGTTGTCCTAAATCAGAAATAATAAGCATTACTATCGTCGTCCCAAATCAGAAATAATAAGCATTACTATCGTCGTTCCAAATCAGAAATAATTAGCATTGATATCGTCGTCCCAAATCAGAAATAACAAGCATTGATATCGTCGTCCCTAATCATAAATAGTAAGCATTGATATCGTCGTCCCAAATCAGAAATAACAAGCATTGATATCGTCGTCCCAAATCAGAAACAACAAGCATTGATATCGTCGTCCCAAATCAGAAACAACAAGCATGAATTATGTTGTTCTCAATAAACTCATCATAGATACCAGGATTAAAATGTTGTACGCCAGACGCGCATTTCGTCTACTAAAGACTCATTAGTGACGCGTGAGTAAAAAAAGTTAAAAAGACCAAATAAAGTACTAAGTTGAAGAGCATTGAGGATCCAAAATTCAAAAAGGTTTTATCAAATACAGCTAAGGTAATCTATTCCTGGGGTAGACCAAATGAGACATAATAAACATGGACAGCTTTGTCCCACACATTGTCCCAAATCTAAAATAACAAACGGGACCTTTTATAGATATAAGAAGATGTGGTATGAGTGCCAATGAGACAACTATAGCTTGATATGCAGTATGGGTTTCGTTCGTTGTTGAAGGCTGTACGATGACCTATACTTGCTAATATCTACGTCATTTAGATAGTTGTTTCATTGGTAATCATACCACATATCACTACTTCATATGGATAATGTTGTACCAAATCAGAAGTATTAAATCAAAATGGATACCGTTGTTCCACCTTGAAAATTTAATACAAGAGTGAACACGATGAAATGTCTCGCCTGTTCTTCTTATGATTGAATTTATGTTTAAAGTCTGTAAAATGAAGGTTTTACTACGAGTATAACACAAACTTAACATTGTCAATGATCCATGAAAATTGAGTCACGGTCAAATGAACTATGCCAGATAGACATGTACACCTGGCAATCATTGGCAAAATATACAGCAGTAAAAAGGATATGCGTTAATTTTGAGCTATCAATTTAAGTATTAAAAGAAGATATGGTATGATTGCCAATGAGACAACCCTCCACAAGAGACCAAATGACACAGAAATTAACAACTATATGTCACCGTACGGCCTCCAACAATAAGCAAAGCCCATACCTCATAGTCAGCTATAAAAGGCCCCGAAATGACTAATGTAAAACAATTCAAACGAGAAAACTAACGGCCTAATTTATGTACAAAATAATGAACGAAAAACAAATATGTAACACAGCAACAAACGATAACCACTGAATTACAGGTTCCTGACTTGGAACAGGCACATACAGAATGTGGCGGGGTTAAACTTGTTTGAATGCGCCAACCCTCCCCTAACATGGGACAGTGGTGTAACAATACAACATAAGAACAAATTATAAAAATCTGTTGAAAAAGGCTTAACTCATCAGGTGGATACAAATAGAAAATTAATACATCTAACAAAAACACAAAGTGGACGTGGACGGGAACTTGCATTTCCTAACAACAAAAAGACACTAAGTACAGATCTTAGGGTACTTGCAGTTACTGACAGCTAGTTCAAAGTCAATAGACGTCATAAACAGTCAGAGAGAAAACATGACCTTGTACAATGCCAAGATACAGGTATCGACAGATTGTAGAGCCATGAATGTGCATATGTATATAACAATAATATTTAGTTTGAATTTGATTTACTGATAACAAAATCAATATTAATACCAATAAAAACGATATTTAAAGATCTAATTACAGTGTTGAATTGGTAACCTTTTCGAATAGGTTTATTTAAAGGATCGATATGTTACCCGGATCGTTTCAAAATTTCCGGGCTCGGAAAACAACATCTCCGTAAAAATGAGGATGTGCTATACCGTTTGAAATAAATTTTCTACAGATAAAACCAAATTTCAAAACCAAATCTCTTTATATCTATGGAAGAATTTAGTAAAGGTTTTAAGTAATTTGTGGTAACGAAATCCCTGACTTAATAATTTACCAGTAATACATAGATAACATTCATTAAAATTCGAAACGTCACAACAGACTCGGGCATAGCGAACGAGATGTGATACATAAACACCGTAAGTTGGTGCCAAAGGAGCATCACCATCCAAAAAAGGAAAATTAAGAATAGGGAACGAAAAATCGTCCCTTTTGTCGTAAATTTTAGTGTAGAGTTTCCCTTGTAAAACTGAAATATCTAAATCTAGGAAAGGACAATTATTACCGTTTATATTTGAAGCATTTAAATGCTAGATGATTATTTAAGTATTTCTTAAGTTCTTTGAAAGACAAAAAATAGGGTCCAATGAAAAACAAATCAACATTTTTGGAGATAAGAAAACGAAAAAAAAAACATTGAAATAACTTTTTATACTTTGTCGGGGAAAGTGCAGTGTACACAAAGTCGAGAATGTGACGACTAAAACTGCATGTGTATTGACAACGAGTTATGTGAACCGTCTCATTAGTCGTATTAAACTATAAAAGATATATATTTAATTTTAGTTGACGCTAAAGGCTTACTATTCAGTAAACCTTTGCCGGAACAAGTATGTAAGTATCTTCGTGTTAAACCTCTTCCAGAACAGGTTTGTAAGTATCTTCGTGCTAAACCTCTCACTGAACAGGTTTGTAAGTACCTTCGTGTTAAACCTCTTCCAGAACAGGTTTGTAAGTATCTTTGTGTTAACCCTCTTCCAGAACAGGTTTGTAAGTATCTTTTTGTTAAACCTCTTCCAGAACAGGTTTGTAAGTATCTTCGTGTTAAACCTCTTCCAGAACAGGTTTTTAAGTATCTTCGTGTTAAACCTCTTTCAGAACAGGTTTGTAAGTATCTTCGTGTTAAACCTCTTCCAGAACAGGTTTGTAAGTATCTTCGTGTTAAACCTCTTCCAGAACAGGTTTGTAAGTATCTTCGTGCTAAACCTCTTACTGAACAGGTTTGTAAGTATCTTCGTGTTAAACCTCTTTCAGAACAGGTTTGCAAGTATCTTCGTGTTAAACCTCTTCCAGAACAGGTTTGTAAGTATCTTCGTGCTAAACCTCTTCCTGAACAGGTTTGTAAGTATCTTCGTGCTAAACCTCTTGCTGAACAGGTTTGTAAATACATGTATCTTTATGTTAAACCTCTTCCAGAACAGGTTTGTAAGTATCTTCGTGCTAAACCTCTTACTGAACAGGTTTGTAAATATCTTCGTGTTAAACCTCTTCCAGAACAGGTTTGTAAGTATCTTCGTGTTAAACCTCTTTCAGAACAGGTTTGTAAGTATCTTCGTGTTAAACCTCTTCCAAAACAGGTTTGTTATTATCTTCGTGTTAAACCTCTTCCAGAACAGGTTTGTAAGTATCTTCGTGCTAAACCTCTCACTGAACAGGTTTGTAAGTATCTTCGTGTTAAACCTCTTCCAGAACAGGTTTGTAAGTATCTTCGTGCTAAACCTCTCACTGAACAGGTTTGTAAGTATCTTCGTGTTAAACCTCTGACTGAACAGGTTTGTAAGTATCTTCGTGCTAAACCTCTTACTGAACAGGTTTGTAAATACATGTATCTTTATGTTAAACCTCTTCCAGAACAGGTTTGTTAGTATCTTCGTGCTAAACCTCTTACTGAACAGGTTTGTAAATATCTTCGTGTTAAACTTCTTCCAGAACAGGTTTGTAAGTATCTTTATGTTAAACCTCTTCCAGAACGATTATGTAAGAATCTTTGTATAAAACCTCTTCCAGAACGATTTTGTGAGTACAACAAAATGTATTTTTATGTTAAACCATTTTCCAGAACAAGTTTATGAGTTGTTAAACCTTTTCCAGAACAAATTTATGAGTATCTTTACGGTAAACCTTTTAGAGAACAAGTTTATGAGTATCTTTATGTAAAACCTTTTAGAGAACAAGCTTATGAGTATCTTTATGTTAAACCTTTTAGAGAACAAGTTTATGAGTATCTTTATGTTTAACCTTTTAGAGAACAAGCTTATGAGTATCTTTATGTTAAACCTTTTAGAGAACAAGTTTATGAGTATCTTTATGTTAAACCTTTTAGAGAACAAGTTTATGAGTATCTTTATGTTACTTAAACTGATCAAAGAGATTCCTTCTAAACTAATTAAACAAATGTTGAATGTATTTAGAAATAAAGAAAGTAGGGGATTCTTGTGCTAAAACATTTAATGGAACTATTTGAAAATCAGAAAATCAGAAATCAATTATCTACAGAAATCTTCTAAAAGTATACTATGGAATACATACATAACAAATCAAAGACCTGTAACATATAATAAATTTTATTCATAGCAAAACAGGACAATCTTGTTTATTATACAAGCTGGGGTGATTGGACGCCATGTAGTGTTTGTGGCGCAGAAGGCGAGCGCAAAAGACGAGGTATGTTGGAATACGTACACGATACCTTATAGAATGTAGTTTTCAGAATGAAAAATGTGTTTTTCGAAATTAATCTGAAACTATCGTAGAGATATTATTACTAAACCATGTTTCTTGTAAAAGGTGGGTGCAAATTAACCAAAAATATGTGAATAAAACAAGATGTGGGTTAATACGTTAATGAGACAACAAACAAACAAAGCAACAAAAAAAACCCCGAAACTTTGATATATGCACATGCCAAAGTGTATTTCTTGTCGTGGATGCTGGTATCAAATCCGAAAGGATAAATAGTTGAAAGTACACTATATATTGTTGTTATGTTGTTCGGATCATTTGTTGGATAGGTTTTTACATATACAAATGGCAGTCCAATCTGGTCAGATGATAGATGCAAGAAAGTTTGTTTTTGCCTTTTTTAGTATTTGTACATTAAAGAGATAAAGGTCATAATTTATTTATGTTCGGGTCAGCAATGTAGATAACCATCATATAACAAGACAAAACACGCATGTTTTTATTTTTTTGCGTTTTTTACAGGAACATGCATGGCCAGACTATACAGTGCAAGAAAGATGATAAGTAATTTTGAACAGTTATATTACATTTTACATTCGTACAAAGCAGGGTTACCATGTAGATCCTCGCTGTTTGAAAGATATTATTATAGTATGTCCAAACACCGTGATCGTCCAGATGAGATGGAATATAAATCGTGTCATGTGCATTGTTGGAGTGGTAAGTAAACAAGTAATACGTTATTTAGTTTGGTGCAGAAATATATTATTAAAAGTAAACGTTTTAACCCTTGATGTTAATGCTTCATCATTCAATAGAAACCCAAGCATTTCACACCGTATAGATTACAATAATTCATGTTTATTTATTTTTTTTAATTTTTTTTTTTTTTTTCTCATTAATTTTTTTTTTTTTCTTCTTCTTCTTCTTCTTTCACCTTTTTTCATATTGATATATTTATTACAGAGCATGCCAGTATTTATATTTATGTATTGTCCAATAAGTGTATTATTTTTTGTAAAAGGAGACAGATTTGTAAAAGCAAATTGCTTGTTTCTGAATCCTTAATATTATTTCATTTGTATAATATCGTTTAATGTTGATTTATCTGAATAAATATTGTTTAAACCAAGTAATACGTATGGATGTAACCGTATTGGTAGGCACGTAGATCGCCGCAATGAAGGTCTGATATCCGGCTGAGGTGGCTTGGGGTAAGAATGTATCAGTTGTGTCTGGGTAGGTAGAGTGAATTCTTGCGGACTTCTACACATACCTCTACCTTGTGAATCAGCGTATCAGTCTACTTCCTGCAGAATACTTACTAACTTGTGAATCAGCGTGACGGTCTTCTACCTGCAGAATACTTAATAACCTGTGAATCAGCGTGACGGTCTTCTTCCTGCAGAATACTTACAATCTTGTGAATCAGCGTGACGGTCTACTTCCTGCGGACCACTTACTGTAACAGATACTACTACCTTGTCGGAATCAGTATGTCGGTCTGCTATCTGTGGACTACTAACTATCTTGTGAATCAGCGTGTCGGTCTACTTCCTGTGGACTACCAGCAGATACTACTACCTTTTGAATCAGCTTGCATTTAAAAAATGACGTATTTAAACTCGGGAAAGTTCTTGCATATTTCCAAAGCAAGAGCTACAGGCATGTTTACTAGTCATTTCAGTTAAAATACAAACCACTTCAGTAAAAAAACATCTTAAGATGGTCTGACGATTCAAAGTTCTCACCGTCCTCTTTAGCGGCAGTATCTAACCAACAGTTGTTATGTATCATAATTATGTACCGGTGTGGTATCGCTATATGTATTATAATTATGTACCGGTGTGGTATCGCTATATGTATTATAATTATGTACCGGTGTGGTATCGCTATATGTATTATAATTATGTACCGGTGTGGTATCGCTATATGTATTATAATTATGTACTGGTGTGGTATCGCTATATGTATTATAATTATGTTCTGGTGTGAAATCGCTACATATCACTTGATTATAAAAAGGAATGTTTTATATTTTACTGCATAGGTGGTGGTGCTGGGAAAAAATTTGCATCAGTCAAACTCGACAAAATAGAATTTCAAAACGTTATGAAAAAATGTAAGTAATATAGTATATATAGTTTATCAAGATCGTATAAAATGATTCAATTGACATATACTGAGCTAAAAGAAATAGCAACATTTATATGTGAATTGAAAAAAAAACTTGGAATTAAAAAAATCAAACGTTGCGGAAAGAACTTTTATAATAGAGTTCTTGTCGGGTGTATTTTCTTTGTTACAATAATTTATTTACTTTAATGTTTAAAAGTGTAGTTTATTTTTTTTAAATTTGAAATTGAAAATATATTGCTAATTCTTTTTTACTCGGTGTTTAGTTTGGCTATGTAAAATTATCGAGATTTAGTAAAAATGAAGGAATAGACTTGAGAAGTAAAAAGAATTTGGAAATTTTATGTTTAGACGAAGTTTTTAAAGTTTGAGTTTAATTCAATGTTAAAAAAAATCGACATCAATATCCTTTACATCATAAGCGGCTTTTACATAGTTTATTATGTAGAATTGGATTATTTTTACTTTATATTTACAGTTCCAGAGACAACAGTTATTGCTACAGAAGGAGACAGAGTTGATTTAATTTGTCCGGGGTATATATGATTAAACACAAAGTTTCTATTCATATTTGTCGTCGATAAATTGATTTTCATTTCATCTTTTATCATATTCTTGTGAGAATTTCATATATTATGAATTATTTAAACAAAAATGACAAAAGTAACTTTCGAATTATGTTTCGGTTTAAGAATTAAAGAAGAATACCAGAAGGTGGTGAGTAACTTAAAGGAATAGTCAAACGGTTTATAGCAATGAACCATCCCTACGGCACGTCTATAGGTGCAATGAACCATCCCTACGGCACGTCTATAGGCGCAATGAACCATCCATACGGCACGTCTATAGGTTCAATGAACCATCCCTACGGCACGTCTATAGGTCCAATGAACCATCCCTACGGCACGTCTATAGTTCCAATGAACCATCCCTATGGTACGTCTATAGGTCCAATGAACCATCCCTACGGCACGTCTATAGGTGCAATGAACCATCCCTACGGCACGTCTATAGGTGTAATGAACCATCCCTACGGTACGTCTATAGATACAATGAACCATCCCTACGGCACGTCTATAGGTCCAATGAACCATCCCTACGGCACGTCTATAGGTCCAATGAACCATCCCTACGGCACGTCTATAGGTCCAATGAACCATCCCTACGGCACGTCTATAGGTGTAATGAACCATCCCTACGGTACGTCTATAGATACAATGAACCATCCCTACGGCACGTCTATAGGTGTAATGAACCATCTGTACGGTACGTCTATAGGTGCAATGAACCATCCCTACGGCACGTCTATAGGTCCAATGAACCATCCATGCGGCACGTCTATAGGTGTAATGAACCATCCCTACGGTACGTCTATAGATGCAATGAACCATCCCTACGGCACGTCTTTAGGTGCAATGAACCATCCCTACGGCACGTCTATAGGTCCAATGAACCATTCCTACGGCACGTCTATAGGTGCAATACCACCATATCACATCACACTCATTATATCTTGGGTGTTTTAAGGCACTATTGTTTTTTTTTATTTGGAGTTTCAGTAAAATATTTAAGAAACACGGTTTCAACTAGTTACTATTTTTTTTTGTATACATAAAAAGAAAGTGGAGTACTTTCCTTGTTGAACTCCAGCGAAGGTTATTTATTTCTATGCAATGCAAGTTGTTTAAAATTGTCACCCTATTACTGCTTATGCTGGTAAGGACGTAACTTTATTCAGGCAAAGTATTTCTGTATGTATAATAGTAAAATCAGCACATTTTGTTTAAAACGGGTTATTAAACATGAGGAAAAGAGGAAAGCATTAATTAGCTGCGTCGGATAGAAATCGACCTTATGGAAATGAATATCAATACATCTGTTAACCCATTTCGGTTTGAAAAAATCTCTACTTAAAGTCTGTAACTGTTTGAAAATTGAGTTGATACAAGAACCCTTTAAAATAGACAAAAAATCATCTTTTATCTTGTATTTTAAAGTTCCAAAATCAATCAAAGTCTCATACATGTACATTGCACTTGCGCTTGCATAAGGTCGATTTCTATCAATTTTGTAAGTATTACATCATAAGTTACAGAGTGCATAGCAATAGACCATCCGAAACACATCTATAGGTCACACGCTCCATATCAATATAACATCCAACAACATGTCTATAGGTCATACAGTTCACAGCTATGGAGAAGTTTTCGCATGCTATTGTAATCATCTTTAACTGAAGTCTTGAGAAAAAAATCAAGAGATTCACCAACATATAATTCATGTTTATGTATTTGAAGTATATATATTAAGCTAGTGGCGGATATAAATAATTCTTTTATCTTGAATAGTTGTATAACATGTATAACAAATGGTGCAACTAAAAACGCACAATAACAATCAAACCGCATAAAAATGTTAACACTATATATATAGCAGAAGGTCTGGACGGGGGTCCTTCATTTCAGTCTGTATTCTTTTTTTTTATGACATTTTTATCTATTCTTTATACGTTTTGTCCATAATTCTCTTTTCTTTATAATTTAACACTTCCGGCATTATTCTCTATTCCGGGCTGTATTTTTCGGTACATTTTTTTCTACTAGTATTCTTTATATGTTTTGCCATTATTCTCTATTCTGTAAACCCCCATCCACACCCTCATAGCATAGAAATATCTTCGACAACTTGGCGATGATATATCTTTTTCGAGATTTTTCGTCAGCACCATAAAGAAGAATGTGAGGAGCATACGATTAAAAAAAAAAAAGATCTGATCAAAAAGTATGCCGATAAGTGAAATAAACATGTACAAATAACCTTCTGGAGCTCATTAGGTAGTTCCTGTCTCATATTACACAAAATAACAGGATTATGAATGTTTTTGATACCATGATCACGTCGACATCTATGACGTTGATTCATCTTTGGACTGTTCTGTTTAAAACAAGTTGATGTTCACATTAAACAGCATAATACTGTGATTGGTATCTATCTTAATTTATTCTGACCTCATATTCTGTCACTTTCATCTGCAATCTGATTGGGTGTAAAATATGTTATTATACTTCATGTCAAAATGCCAGATTCTGATTGGTTAATACGAGGGAGACAATTTACTCTATCCTATGGTAAATACTCTATTACCCTTGACGGAGACGCTTGATCAAGTGTGCGCTTTATTAAATACGTATGGTTGTTATGTACAAGACGTCATAGTTTATTACTTTGAATTTGAAATTTAATAGACAGTAATAACAGAATATTCAATATTATAAATTAAATAGCACATATCTGAGAGGGTGATAGAGCAGATTGCTACCCCTCGAAAAGACATTGTCAACCTTGACTTCGCCACAGTTGACAATGTTTTCTCGGGGTAACAATCTGCTCTATCACCCTCTCAGCTATGTGTTATTTATATATTACCACAATTAATGCATCTGTAATTAGTATGACTTTTAACCGACCGCATTCGATTTCAGACGTTCACATTCCTATGTTAACCATTTAGTTAAATGAGGTAGTAGATCATCTCAGTTAACCAAGTAAGACTGATTTCAGTCGATCATTTCATAATATGAACAAATAAAACCGACTGTAATCGATTGCTATTGATTAATGAAATCTACATCAAACTTAAGAGACTCATATATACAGCTCATCACTTGTCTAGGACGATTGAAATATTTTCCTCTCATTGTTTTATATAAGGAGATGTGGTAGGATTGTTGATGAGACAACTTTTCACCAGCAACCGATTTTTTTACCTGCCTTTTTTTATTAGCAATTTATAAATCTTGTGATCTTTAATACTTGTTTCAGGTCGTCGATAGACACTCTTGTGTATTGGATAAAAGGAACAAAATATATGTCGTCATTAAAATTACGTGAGGAGACGTCGGACAGAGTAGACATTGATGCATATAATGTTTTTGTTATACACACTTCACTGATGGAAGATTCCCGCTCATACACATGCGCTTATGCTGGCAGAACACGAATGATTTTCCATTTGAAAGGTATTTTTTCATCAGAATTTGGAGAAGATTTAGTTAAATATAATAGGAATGAATAAACATGTGGAAATAAAACCGATACTCCAGAGTTGACATAAGTATCATAAATAGTATGTGACAAATTCTTCGATCAAAGCTATGGACAGTGGTGCAGAATGTTTTTGCTTTACACTTTTACCATACAGGTCAGTATACAGCCTTAACAAAAGACACGTGTCTATAGGTCTCTATAGAATATGCTAAGCTCTAAAACGTAGCGAGTCCATAAAAGTTCTGAATAAATTTAGCAGATCCAATAAAAAGATCTGCCATCAACATTCAATTCTCAAAAAAAAACAAAACAGAGACATCAATATTATGGCATACGACAACTACTGATGATGAGGTGGGATAGGCACATGCATATGTGGCGGAGTTATTAAAACTAGTATCTTGTGATCCCAACCTTCCCTCTTTCCCATCTTAATCAACGGACTAACAAAACGTATATGAGAGACCTACAATAAAAGTCAGTATAGAAAAGGCGCTTCACTCTTTTAAAGCTGAAAACAGTAATTCTGTTCATTGACAAATTACTTTTTGATTTATACATTTAAAATACTGAATACTTGAACATACTTTTTTCTTTCAGTTCTCCCACCTCCTGGCTTGCGTAAGTAATAAAAGAAAAAAAATAAGTCTGAATAAGTGCGTCACAGTACTTCGTTTATATCATTGCTATGAATGGTATTAGCCAAAAAAAGTGCATTTACTAAAAATAGCTAATAATAGGTGACTGAGTTGTACATCGAGTGTTATCATGATAACTAGTTCAATAGTTTTATCGATTTCACCTAGATTCGACAAAGTTGTGCAGTGTTACCGTGGCGACTAGTTAAATTGCTTTGGTTATTTTACTTTTTTACAATATTTATATAAATGCTTCTAGTGGTATTGAGTTGATAAAAATCTGACCAGAAATGACCACACGATAATTTTTGGAAGGGTGTGGTTTTAAATGAAATAATATAGCAGAGAAACGTAAGGAACGAATACCTTAATTCAAAACTTATTAAAAGGATGAAGAGCTGATAAAGCATGAAGGACACAATTAAAGCCATAGCCGGGCAAGGAATCAGAGCTTTGCATAAGGGAGACAATTATAGCCATAGCCGGGCAAGGAATCAGAGCTTTGCATAAGGGAGATGTATTCCTTAATTTGAAATAATTTCTAAAATTAATACTTTCACCATCTGTACACATATGGTCGTTAAGTTAGAAACCATTTAGAAAATCACTTCAAAAATGTAGAAAATTGAAAATTTATACTAGTTTGTCAGTCTTCAATTTACTAATGTACCCTATTAATTGTTATATCTGTCGGCATTGTGTGTTGTAATTATTGTTGACTTGTGTTAAATTTGCCACGATAACTTCTCTCACAGTTTTTATAACATCTTTATATTTTAGCTCCATGGGTTGAACACCTTCTGTATTTGTGCTATAGTTTTACGGTGGATTTTTGGGTGTTTGTGATTTTTCTCGCGGTACGACATAAACACCGCCTTGTTGCACACACGACAAAGAGGTTTAAACCACAACGCTATGAGGATGCAAATAACAATGAAGAAGTACAGAATATGCATCCTGAGAACGAGGCTCTGTTGCCGCGTGACTTTGATAAATATTTGCCTGAGAACGAGGTTATGTTGGCAAATGACTTTGATGAATTTTCGACTGAGAACGAGGTTGTGTTGGCAAGTGACTTTGATGAATTTTCGACTGAGAACGAGGTTTTGGTGGCAAGTGACTTTGGTGAATATTCGACTGAGAACGAGGTTGTGTTGGCAAGTGACTTTGATGAATATTCAGAATATGAAGAAGAGGATTTGATGCCAAATAATAAATACAATAATACATATCAGGACAAAAAATATATTTGACAATACTGAATTTAGTAAAAACATTTTAAATATAAAAACTTTGCTTCATAAAATTAACAGTCTTCGATTTACTCTAAACAATAGAAAGAATTGTAGAAATAAATTAGAATGAGTTTTGTTTAAAAAATACCAGTTCTTAGAAAATATTTTCCTTGCCTTGCTTGATGAAAAACAAGATTGTCCTGGATATATGAATATACTATTTTTGTATATTAGCTTTTCATGATCTCCCCCTTTTTTACATATATACCTTGTTTCCCTTAAAAGAGGTAATTTCAGCTCCCCAGTTGTGAACTTTCCATTTCTGTGTAGCAACATTCAAACAGCGGCTTCATATGGAGTAAATATATTTTGTATCTCCCAGTTGATACGATATTCCAGAGTTTGCAATTCCTATCATGATTTCCTTGATAGAGGGTTGCTGCCAACAATGATACTATTAAACCAAAAGTTCCAAGAGGTGAAGTAGAAATTTTCCTTTCTACGCCACAACGAGTTGGTTGACCGTTATGAAATATCCGTTTCAAATTACGACACATATGTTACAATTGTCGTAACCATAATCCCGTCCTTTTGTTTTCTTATGTGACCTACTGACTTACTACCAGGTTTGTACTATCATGAGTATCACGACGGATGCAACATGTTGAGCATGACCTGCTAACGCTGCCGGAGCACATGAGATCAGCTCCGGCTGTTGGTGGGTTTTATGTTGCTCAGTCTTTAGGTTTCTATGTTGTGTTTTGTGTACTGTGCATTGTTTGTCTTTTTGTCGTTTTTCGTTTTTCCAATGGCATTGTCAGCTCGGTATCTTTGGTCTCTCTTTGAATTGTGAGTTAAAGAAAGACGGGCAACTGACGATATTGGAATAGACTAAATAAAAGTATTAGTCCATAAACACGATAAAGCGCTACATAGGAAAGGAAAAATTGAACCACCCTCCGAAACAGGGCGTGAACACAGGTGCTCCGGTGGTTATTATTATGTGTTATAAAAGTATTTTTATTTCGTATATGGTGAGGTGAAGATAACGTAATTTGTAACCCATGTTAAAATGTTAACTTCTGTCAAATCATTGTTTTATATTTGTTATCATTGTCTTTATTTTAACTGGATAATTATTTTTGTTGATATATTTATTTTCAATCGATTAATTTCCCTGGCTTTCAATTCTAGTAACCTCAAATTAAAATACTAATCCTTCTGGCAAGAATATTATTGTTTTTAAATATTCAACTAAAGGCTTGCTCTGATTAATGGGGCTTAAACAGTCAGCACAATACCTAATTTAAGATATCAACCTTTTATTTTACAACTTGATTATTTTCTGAACAAAAATATACATATGTAATTATGATAACTTTTTCATTGATCTTTTCGTGTTTAAAACATGTTCGGTATGTACTTCCTTGAAAGAAACACTGGGTTATTCTTCAAGTTTGAATGATTATTACTGTAATTTGTTGTTGGTACCTTGCAGTAGTATTTACACGACATGTTAAAGAAAAAAGATCTGTATTGTATTTCATACTATATATAATTCAGTGATATCACTTACTGGCTTTCAAGAAACCATAACATTTTTCTCACCAAGTAAGAACATATTTTTAAATTGAAGCAAATCCTGATCGAGAATAGTTTCCACTAAGTCAATTCCCTATTATGATAGAACTTCATTTGGTTATGAAATAATACAGTTCAAGAAACCGGTGACACTCATCGCCGATAATAGAAGAATCGATGTAGTGATGCCAGGGGCGGTAACCCCATTATCTCCGACTGACACAGTTTGTCCGGCACAGCTGCATTTACTTTTCATTTCGATTCTTGGGATGTTTGTGCATTCACTTCGGTTTCTGTCGGAGAAACACGTGACGTTGTTTGAATAGTTTTGTGATTCAAAACTTGCATCGTTCGAACAAATAGGACACCTGTCGACGATAGCTCCTACGGGCTTTATCCAAGTCTGCAATCCGCAAACTTTAGATATTTCCACAAGGTTGTCAACAGTTACGTGAAATGCAACACTAGTTATGGGAACATGTTCATCCCACTGAAAGGTGTGGTTACCAATTCTCCTAAGTCCGACCATTATCAAATCCCCTTGTTTATATGAACCGGCTGTACCGGAACACTTCGAAACCGGAAACACAGAAAATATAGTGATATTTTCAAAAACGTGATAACCATCAGATTTTAATACACAATGAACTTCCAAATTAGTGTTTATACTTTCGAATATTGTCATATTACTTACTTCACGACCTATAACCACAACCTGTGAGTAAGACAGCATTTGTTTCATATCCAACATAATCCAATCTTCTACTTTACACGACTCAACTGACAAGTCATTTTTACAGAAAATAAAACAAATTACAAACACAAAATATCTTATCGACATTTTCCTTACTTTTTCTATTGTTCTATGGCAGTCTATGTAAGTTTACTTTGTGATCAACTTTAAAGACTATAAGCAATAAATCTGATTAAAACACGAGATTAACCTAAATTAAATTTGGCACAATAATATTTAATCCGCCCAATATAATATATTCTTCAGGCCATTTTTTCAAACAATGAGCTAAACACTATATAATAATAATAATCTAAACACTATAAAATAATAATAATAATAATAATAATAATAATAATAATAATAATAATAATTTTTTATGACATTCAGGATGTCATTAGGCAGGAATTATTGTTGGGAAATATAAAAATTGTTTTTTAGGCTTTAGAAACAGTACTTTGACTTTGCTATGAAATAAAATTCTTTCTAGTCTCTTATGTACGTGTTATGGCCTTATTGTTCGCTGGCTTATTGTTCGCTAGTTATTGTTCGCTAGCTTCAGCCTGGTTATGAAATATACAGGAAAATAGACCAAACATATGCTACTCACACTTTTCGATCTATATAACTCAACAGAAACAAAGTACTCGCTGCGAACAACATTTTTCCCTGTCCAGCTATTAACTCACTGAAGGTCCCTGTTAATAATATCAGAAGTTCATCACTAGGATGTTATGCAGTTAGCAAACCATCCAGAGAAATAAGTCAAATAATTAATGCCTACATATGGCACATAACTAAATAAATGAAAAGGAAATACTAACCAAAACCAACATTCTATTTGGAGTACGTCTCTGTTACGTCTCCCGGAGTTACAGAATATTTCGTTTTAGTACGGATGCCTATGTGAAATTTGAAATATATTGTATCAAAATTGTTTTCAAAAGCAAGATTTATAAATGAGAAGCATTATTATTTTATGCGTACAATTAAAATTGTTAGATTATCATTAGTAAGTGAGTTTCAGTAAGTTTTAACATCTTTTTGATTTTACACACACAAATGCACAAATACAAAGTGATTTATCTATGTCTCCTTCATATTGAATTGGAGGAGACCTTAAAACAATATTAAATGTTGTAAATACAGGGAAGTCATAGACCTTAGATTATATAGGATATTTATAATGGTTACATTGTAAATCTCAAATGTGACCTTAAAACAACACACAAAGACGAAAAAGGATATGCATATTTTGAATAATGAATACATTGTAAATCATAAAGAAAGATTAAGGCTATACAGAATAAGTACACAATGACACATTTACATCGAGGGTTGAACTAGTCTATTTCTAACGTTATAAAACCACGAGACTGGATGTTAAAGAGGGTTTTACGCTTAATTAGATAATACAATGATTGATATACTAGTTTAAGAAAAGAGAACTTAAATTTAAAGTACCTCGTTACGGCAACATACGTCGATATTTCATCTCCCTGGGTATTTGTTTAGACGATGATGACAAGACTGTACTGGCTTGATGTTAAAAGTCAATTTTAACTAATTCATCAATATGAATAGAAATTGATCTCAGAAAATGAAAATTAAACAAAATGATACTGATTTTATTGCGCATGACACTTGCTTCTGAGACAATCTTCACCAAGTACGCTTCAGACTAATTTAGTGTTAAGGAAGCCGAATAAAATTTGAAAGGTTTGAAACATTAAAACTGGAAACGGCAAATACAGAATAGCCAAATCCAAGAAAGATGTTGTTGCCTCAGGGTGTTGGAATCTAAGTTTTATTGCATTTATGTAATCCATGAACTGAAAGTTTACTCTTACAATGTATTGCTTTACCCTGTCCGCTTTAATCTTTTCCTAAGCATTGACTACTCATTTAGTTTACTGTCATTCAACAAGCTGCAGGTATCGACCCATGTCAGTAAATCGAAATAAAACGTAATTGAAGAATTGTAACCATATATATTTTTTCTATCATTTCATCACCGATCCGCTTTTGCATGACTCATAACTTCACATAACTTACCAACGTAATTCATAGGGGTAACACGACGAGTTACATGTCAAGCAGGAATTGCTTACTCTTCCTGAGCACCTGAGACCACCCTTGTTTTTTTGGTGGGGTTCGTTTTTATTTTTCCATGTTGTGCTTTGTAGACTGTTATTTTTCTTTTGATCGTTGTTTGTTTTTATGCCATTGCATTGTCAGTTTAAATAACCTTTTTGAATCTTTCCCCACTCTTTGAAACTCAAATAATATTTGCAAACTATCAAATCAAGAGTCATTAATTGTCGAAATGCGCATCTGGTGCAGTAAAATTGGTACCATTATCATTATTGCAAGCTGTTTTTCGTTTGTCTTGAATTCCCACTGCTGGATACACTAAATGTAGGAGATGGAAGATATCTTTGTGGACTTACTGTCAATCAATTCAGAGCTGAATACAATGATAGTAATCAAGGTTAAAACAACTCATCAATGATACAAGGCTTGTAATTCAAATTTAATACACCAGACGCGCATTTCGTTTACATAAGACCCATTATGTGCGCTCGGATCAAAACAACTGGAAGGCCAAATCAACTACAAAGATGAGGAGCATTGAAATCCAAATTCCTAAGAAAATAAATCTGTTTTCAGGAAATGATATGTTGGATATGTGCAGAAAGAACCTTAGGTTCGACAAACAATGAAGACTTAGCTCACTTTCATAATGATATAACATTAACGGTACCAATTTTACTGCACCAAATGCACATTGCGAGATTAATGTCTCTTCATTGATGATCCGGGCCAAAATATTTTGAATCCTAAACTAAAAAATGAGGAGTTTATAAATGAAAAGGGACGAAAAAATAATCAAACCGGGCAAGGAATGCGAGCTTTGCACGAGGGAGATTGATATTGAAAACATTAATTATCTTTGCCAAACCATCATGGAATCAGGTTGAACTACCCCTTGATATACAATTGTCCTACATTAGAAATACATGAACTAAGCTTGACTGAAATCGGATTATTGTAGACAAACAATATCTAAGACTAGCCATTGTAGTAATTAGAACACGTTCTACACAATAAGCTACTAAAAGGGTAATAAACGAATACATATTCAATATAATAGTCCAGAAATGAAAAATATTCAACGTTTATATAATTCCTACACGGCGACCATCCAGTTTTGATAATAGAAAGTGTTCATGAGGAAGAACGACTGAAATCGACACTACATAATTATACAATCACAATCACGAATTGATTGACCGATACGATTTGTTTATGTATCAACTCATGAAATACATTCTTTCGAGCTTTTAGATCTTTAAACACATGAATCGTCGTTTGATCTGGTCGTGTCCTACTCTTTATCGTGATATTTACTTGTGATTTGATTATTTCTAAAAATATATATGTATAAATAAATATATGATGATTATTTTTATTATGGTCCGAGTACCTGGAGGTTTAAGATTGGTTGCTATACCCGTCCAAAATTTTCAAAAATTTCATCATGTTGAATGTGATATGGTAATTTATAAATACAATATGGGAAATTCAGTTTGCTAAAATTAGATAAGACTAAAACACAGTTAACTAGCTGCTTATGTACTTCAAACACAAACCATATCAATACTAATGCTGTTAATTTTCTATACAGGTCAAATATTTTAAATTGGATATAAGAACTTTAGGTTATTGTATTATTAAATGAATTGTAATTAAAACTATTCTTATTTGGCATATGAATTAAGCAACAACAAAACGAATCGTATGCTATACCTTCGCTTCGTGCACGACACGTGCTTCTTGAATGGATTTCATTGGGCAAAAAATCATAAAAGATACCAGGCTTAAAATTTGTTACGCGAAACGCGCATCTCGTCTACACAAGACCCAACAGTTATTTAAGGTACAACAAACTGTAGATAAGGTACTATGTAACAAACCATGTTACTTTTATTTTTCTTCCCTTAGTTTATTTATTTTGTATTTACATTGTATCATAGGTCAAATTTATTTGTTCAGTGTATGTTCACTGGTGTTAATATGTCCTTTGATGAGTTAAGCTATTTCAGTTGATATTTTTTAGTGTGTCTTTCTATGTTGTGATGTTACACTGTTGTTTCAGAAAAAGGGTGAAGGTTTGGTACCATTAAAACGTTTAAACCCGCTGCATTTGTTTGCACCTGTCCTAAGTAAGGAACCTAATGTTCAGTAGTTATCGTTTGTTGATGTGGTTCATAAGTGTTTCTCGTTTCTCGTTTTTGTATAGATTAGACCGTTGGTTTTCCCGTTTGAATGTTTGAATGGT